ACTACAACCTCTGCCTCCTGGGTTCAAGCAATTCTCCTGAGTGAGCCACCCGAGCAGCTGGAAATACAGACGCGTGCCACCACACCTGGCTAATGTTTGTATTTTTAGTGGAGACAGGGTTTCACCATGTTGCCAGGCTGGTCTCGAACTCCTGACCTCAAGTGATCTGCCCACCTCAGCCCCCCAGAATGCTGGAATGACAGGCATGAACTGCCCCCCGGCCCATGGGGCCCTTTCAACACCTGCGGCATGTGCTGTAATCACTATAGCAAAATTCTCCTGCTTGGAGACTTAGGGCCTTCTTCAGCTGTTATATATATATATATTTTTTTTTTTTAAACAAAACAAAAGAAATGTGGCTTTTCTAGATATAATTCTAATATTTATTTTTTTTTCTTTTTTTTTTTTTTTTTTAGGGAAAAAGAGAAAAAGAAGGGGAAAAAAAGAAAAAGGGGGAAAAAGGAATATTACTTCATTCCTAAAATGGGTTTCAATAATGGCCGATCAATATTTTGAGTGTTTAAAGTGGTTAATGCATATTTTATGTGTTTAAAATGGAGACCTCTATTGTGTTTATTTGTTCTGGCTCTGAGTTCAAATCCTGGATATCGTTATCAATTTGTTGTCTCGTTGAATCTAAATCTATGTGTCTTATGTATCTGAGTGTTAAGATCTCTTATTGTTACATTAATCCTTTTACCCTTGTATCCTTATAGCTTTGAAATCTATTTTGTCAAATGTGAAAATTGCAACTCCTGCTTTTTATTTATTTATTTTTGCTCTCCATTTGGTTGGTACGTTTTTTTTTTCCAACCCTTTATTTTGAGTCTATGTATATCTTTGGATATACCGTTGGATTTTTGTCTGTATCTTTTGATTGGGAGATTTGGTTGATTTAACTTTAGGGTTGCTGCCATTTGATATTAACTGGCTATTTTGTCCTTTTGTTGATAAAAATTCTTCTTTATGTTAATGCTCTTTACTTTTTGGTGTATTTTTAGAAAGGATCATACTGGTTGTTCCTTTCTGTGTATAATGCTTCTTTTAGAAGTTCTTGTAAAGCAGGCCTGGTGGTAATAAAATCTCTGAGTACTTGCTTGTTCCTAAAAGATTTTATTTTTCCTTCAAATGTAAAGCTTAAATTGGCAGGATATGAAATTCTGGGCTGAAAGTTTTGTTCTTTAAGTATATTGAATATTGGCCCCCACTCTCTTCTAGCTTGTAGGGTTTCCGTTGAGAGATCTGCTATAAGCCTAATAGGCTTACCTTTATGGGTAACTTGATCTTTCTCTCTGGCTGCCCTTAATATTTTCTCCTTCGTTTCGATCTTGGTGAATCTAACGATTATGTGCCTTGGGGTTGGTCTTCTTGAGGAATATCTTTGTGGTGTTCTCTGTATTGCCTGGGGTTGAATAGTGTCCTGCTTTGCTAAATTAGGAAAATTTTCCTGGATAATGTCCTGGAGAGTATTTTCCAGCTTGAATTCATTCTCTCCGTCACATTCAGGTACACCAATCAAGCGTATATTAGGTCTTTTCACATAGTCCCATATTTCTTGGAGACTTTGCTCATTCCTTTTTATCCTTTTTTCTCTATTCTTGTCTTGTCGTTTTGTTTCATTAAGTTGGTCTTCGACCTCTAATACCCTTTCTTCTGCTTGATCCATTCGGCTGTTTAAGCTTGTACATATTTCACTCAGTTCTCGTGTTGTATTTTTCAACTCCATAAGTTCATTTGTATTCCTCTCTATATTGTCTATTCTTTTCAACATTTCATCGAACCTTTTTTCCAAGTTCTTAGTTTCTTTACATTGGGTTAGAACAAGTTCCTTTAACTCCCAGAAGTTTCTTATCATCCACCTTTTAAAGCCTACTTCAGATAATGGAACACAGTCCTTTTCCATCAGGGCTTGTTCCGTTACTGATGAGTCCTTTTCCATCAGGGCTTGTTCGGTTGCTGATGAGTCCTTTTCCATCAGGGCTTGTTCCGTTGCTGATGGGTTCTGATTTTGAGTATACTCAGCCTTCTTAGGCTGTTTTTTTCCCTTCATTTTAGATGAACCGCCTTTCTAATTAGTTTTCTGAGTCGACGTCCGACTTACTGATTCCCAGTGCTGGGATCCGAGCCACCCACTGTGGCAGCCTAAATAGCAGCGATAGGACTGATGGTGCTCTTCTGCCCGGGAATCTCTGGTCTGGCTTCCCTCTTGAGTCCACAACAAGCGGCTCTGACTTCCCGGAGCTCCAAACTCTGGTCAGTAGGGGAAGCGGTCCCGTTGGCTCTGCGTGAAGAGCTGCTGCGCCGAGACGCCGGCAAAACCGCTGCAGCGGCCACAAGAGTCGCGCTGGCGACCCGTGGGGCTCCTCCACTGGGAGTCGGCTAATCGGTGAGTGACGAAAATTCGTCTAATGATGTGGCGTCGTCTCGTTCTCTGAGCTTTCACTGGGAGCTACAATCCTGAGCTGTTAGTGGTCGGCCATCTTGGATCTAATATTTCTGTTATATATATTTTTAAGATGGGGTCTCAGCTGGGTACAATGGCTCACACCTGTAACCCCAGTAGCACTTTGGGAGGCTGAGGCAGGAAGATTGCTTAAGCCCAGGAGTCTGAGACTAGCCTGAGCAACATGACAAAACCCTGTCTCTAATTAAAAATTAAAATAAAGATAAAAAATACATAAAAGATAAAGATGGGGTCTCACTCTGCCACCCAGGCTGGAGTGCAGTGGCTCAATCATAGCTCATTGCAGCCCCTAACTCCTGGGTTCAAGCAATCCTCCCACCTTGGCCTCTTAAGTAGCTGGGACCACAGGTACAAAGCACGGTACCCGGCTTCAGTTGTCAATTTTTTCTTATTGAAAGTAACATTGCAATAAATATTATTATGCCTCTAAACTTTTATTTTTTTGAGACAGAGTGTCACTCTGTCGCCCAGGCTGGAGTGCAATGGCATGATCTCAGCTCACTGCAACCTCTGCCTCCTGTGTTCAAGCGATTCTCCTGCCTCAGCCTCCCAAGTAGCTGGGATCACAGGCGCATGGCACCATGCTCAGCTAATTTTTGTATTTTTAGTAGAGATGGGACTTCACCATGTTGGTCAGGCTGGTCTCCAACTCCTGACCTCGTGATTTGCCTGCCTCAGCCTCCCTAAGGGCTGGGATCACAGGTGTGAGCCGCCTCATCCAGCCCCCGAAGCTTTTCTTCTGCACAAAGATAATTTCCCAAAGATACATTTATAGAAGTGGAATTCCAGGTAAAAGGGGCCTTATATTTAAATGACATTTCCACCTTTGGAAACCCAGTTGATGAAAAGTTACCTCATTTCACCTGGTGCTGCACAGATACCTAGCAATGGGAATGGTTGCTGTGTTGATTGCTCATTTTGGTATTTGGGTATTTTTAGTTCGTGTTTTCTTCCCATGGATTGATATGGCTTTGTCTGAATTAAGCGTACTGACCTTCGATCTGTGATTTACTTGTCAAATATTTCCCCCGAGTTTGCGGACGTTTGTTGTTTATTTTTGTTCGTGGTGTTTTATAGAGACGTTTAACAGCTCCCACTGTGTGGCGGATCGTATAGTTTTTCGTCTTTGTGACTTGGACGGATGATTTGATGGTGAAGATGTGGGGTCAGGGGCTCAAGAGCCTCTGGGTCTGCAGCTGTCTTCTCAGTCAGGCACTCTCTCGTATTGACAAGAGGTCCTCTGTGTACAGGGCCGAGGAGAACATGGTGGCCAAGGTGGACCGCCAGCTGAGTGTGGCTGGGATGCTAGCAGCCCCCAATCCCCGCAGGCGTGGGATGAGGGCAGCCTGGGGAGGGAGGGGATTCGGATTTCTCTTTGTGATGGTGGGATAGGGCAGCTCAGAGAGCTTGGACAGGCACAGCCAGGACTGTAGGGGCTGGAGAGGACTTGGGCCTCCGTCCAGAAGGTGTTCCAGGTGTCACAGAGACCACATTCAAGATTGGAGGCCCGCCAGGGCTGCCCATGTGAGGCTGGGGGTGCTCCTGGACATAGGTGCACCAGGACACTGGCCTAGAGCCTGCACAGTGGCAGCTGGACAAGGCTGTGGGGCGTGTCCTACACAAGGAGGACCCCTGGTTTATGCATCAGTGAGGCAGGAGGATGGACTTGAGGGGTGGATGTGGGGTGGGTGAAGGGCAGGTGTTGAGGGTGGATGAGGGGCAGGTGTGGGGGGGTGGGTGAGGGGCAGATGGGGGGCAGTTGTGGGGGGTAGGTTAGGGGCAGGTGTGGGGTGGGTGAGGGGCAGGTGTGGGGGGTGAGGGTCAGGTGTGGGGAGCAGATGAGGGGCAATTGTGGGGAGTAGGTGAGGAGCAGGTGTGGTTGTGGGTGAGGGGCAGGTGTGAGGCGTGGGTGAGGGTCCTGCACAAAGGCCCCATCTTGGCTCTCCCCGCCTGTGTCCCAGGGGCAGTGAAGCACAGTGTGTGGGCCCTGGCAGCTCCCCAGGCAGTGGCTGAGGGCCAGTGCCTCCGTTTTCCCCGGCTGGTCGAAGGATGGCTGGTATCCCCTGGTGCAGCATTGGAGCTGCGCTGGCCTGGGATGAGAGTCATGCTATGGCTCCTCTCCCTGCCAGGACCTCTGAGAACGAGGAGGAGGGCAGGAGAGGCCGTGCTTGGCTGCTCAGCTGTGGAGGGAAGCAGCCCAGTGCTCAGCTTGCTGGTCCCTGCCTGCCCTGGGGTCGGTCTCAGAGGCGTCGTTCTGGAGGCTGTGTCGCTGGGGTGGGGTGGAAGGGGCATCCTGAGGCTCCTGAAGGGCCCCGGGGTCCAGCCTCCATCTGTCCAGGTGGATGTGCTTCTTCTCTAGGTCAGAGGCCCCCAGGACTCCTTTTGGGGCTAGGGTGGGGAAGTGCTTTCTTCCCCACCTCCAAGGTGGCAGTTGAGGAGCCACAGGCTGAGGCTTGCGGAGGGTCTGCAGTGTCAGCCCCCTGCCCCCCGCACCCCTCCACTCATGCGGCTGAGACATAAATGCGGAAGTCAGAAAAAGAAGCATAGAAGCCTTTATTTCTGGTAAGGCTGGGTGGGGGACTGGCCTCCTCTTCTCTGCCTGGCTGCTGGGGTTTGGGGGCCTGCTGGTGAGTGGGCTGGCACTGAAGGGACAGGGTCTTGTGCCCAGGCCCATCCCACAGAGAAGTCCTCCTTGGCCATGGTTTGGAGACACAGCCAAAGGACAGTCAGGTTTTCTCCCTGTGGCGGTGTGGGCTGGGCAGGGAAGGCTTCCTGGAGGAGGTGTCATTGTCCACTAAGAAGCACCGTGGGGCCTGGCCACTGCCTCTGTGTTGGAGCTGGGTGGGGCTGGGCCCTCCAAACTCTGCTGCGGCAGTGGGAGGACATCGGGGTGGGGGATGCGGTGGGCCGAGGGTGCAGAGGGGCAGGGACACTGGGGTGGGGGTCAGTGGGAGGACCGCAGGGCAGGGGGGTTGTTGGGGCAGAAGTTGGTGGTGGTGCAAGGGGGATGGACCGTGGGGCAGGAGGCGCGGCAGGGTGAGGGGCACGGCAGGGTGAGGGTCGCGGCAGGATGAGGGCCATGGTGGGGGCAGGGGAGGTAGTGGGGGGACCCCGGCAGGGCATGGCAGGCGCACTGGGTCACTGGTATGGATTGGGGGAGGACAGCGTGTTGCAGCGGCTGTGGGACATATCCTCATACACCACACATGCTGCTGAGTCCTTATCCCGAGATGAGCACACTTTCTTCATCTGAAAAGCAGAACCTGTCATCTGCAACTGTGGCTGGCGTGGTGTCCTGGACCCCACCCCACTCTGGTCAATTCTAATTTTAACACTGGACCCCCGAGAGGCTCCTCAGCCGGCCCCTAGTTCTCCTGAGCCCCAGGGCTCCCTGGCAGAGGCTTCCCCAGACAGGGATGGGTTGGACCCCAGGGCAGTGCCTCTGAAGAAGGAGGGTGGAAGCGGCTTGGACACCCCAGCTCAGGCCGAGCAGGCCCCCACTCTGGTCCCAGACAAACAGCAAGGACGGAGGGCAGTGGCCACAGACCAGACCCTGTGCCTGTCCAAGGCCCCCTCCCCTTCCCATGACCACACAGCATGCCCGCACACTCCAGCAGGCCTCAGAGACCCCCCGTCCCACACTCACACCTGCAGACCCACACACATGCACACGCGGGCCCCAGCTTCACTGCTGATTCCCCTCCCTCCCTACCATGCCACTTCCACCCTGAGAGCTCCCGGAGCCTGCAGAGGAGGCATCGGGTGCTGGGGTTTTCCTTTGAGGCCTTGGCATCCCCCACTCTGCTCTCAGGAGAGGGACAATTGTGGGGATGCAGGTGGCAGTCGGGGCTTACACTGACCTGGATCCTCACCAGCACACACGCCACCCCCAGGCCCAGCCCGAGGAGGAAGGAGACCACCATCAGGGCTGCAGAGAGGGCAGAGGCTGTCGGCGGGAACTCTGGGCATCTATGTGCTCCTTGGGACAGTTCTTCTGAGAAGGAAAAAGGAAGGAAGGGATTATCCGGTGGAGAATCTTGTTAGAGCCCCTGGGATTTGGCGTTCAGGTCAGGGAGGCAGTGGAGGGGAGGAGGGGCAGCTATCTAGAAAGCTGCTGGGGAGAGGGTGGGCTGGAAGCTAGAACAGTGCTGGAAGCTAGAACAGTAGGAGGGAGGGTACCCCGACAAGGGCTGTGGAGCTGGCCTGGCCAGCAGCTGGGGGAGGGGCCCGGGGTGGGCACATTTCCTACCTGTCACCAGGACCAAGGTGCCATGGCGGGGGCGGAAGACATCAGTCTCTGTGACGCCCTCGCAGGTGTAGGTGCCAGTGTCTGCTGGCTGCAGGCGGTGCATGGTGATGGTCAGTTTGTCCTGTGACCCCGAGAAGCTGACACGGTCCCGGAACAGTGTGTTCACTGTGGGCATCAACTCATCCTCGTAGTAAATGATGTCTATGGGCTGTGGCCAGAGTTGCTTCAGGTAGATCCCACTCAGGGTCCCACTGGTGGAGCAGGTGATGTTGACAGAGCCTTTCACGGGGGCAATCGTGAAGCAGGGAGCCTGCTGCATCTCTAGGGAGGACCTGGGCTGTCACCACCAGGCTGGCCAGAAGGACAGAGAATGTCCTCCCTGAGGGAACCGTGGTAGGGCTTGGGACAGCCCGGGGCTGACATGTCGCCAAAGACACAGTGCCTTACAGGACCTGGAGCAGCTCTGGGCACCAGTGCCGGGGGCTGTCCTCATGCTCCAAGGCCTTGGGGCTTCTTCCTCCCAAAGCAGTGGCCCTGCCTGGACAGCCCCGGCCACTCTCCACCTGGGGTCCCCCTTTCTCCTTCTCTTAAATGAGTCTCCAGATGGTGGAGGCCACTCAACATCCCACCTGCTTCCCGGGGGCTGTGTTGTGGCCCAGGCTGGGGGTGCTGAGCTCACAAGGCAGGGGGAGCTCCAGAGATGTGGCCAAGGAGGGTCCAGGAAGCTCTTACCTTGGATGGCCAGGGCCTCAGGCAGGCCTCGGGCCAGTGCCAGGAGGAGGACCAGCAACAGGAGCCTCGGGGGCTGGGCCATGTTCCCCATACCCAGCCCTCCCAGCCGGGTGAGTGCAGCTGAGCCCCTCTGGGTAAGCAGGACCTGACAGAGAAAAGCACACAGCAGACCGCAGGCTTCAGAGCTCAGAGAGGGCTTCCTGGAGGCGGTGCCTCAGACCAGGGTGGTGCTGGGCGGCCTCACTTTCCCCTCCCCAGCGCTGCTTCCCCAAGAGCTGTCCTCACCACATGGTGTCCCTGCCCCCACCCTGCCTCTGCATCTCCACAGGGAGGAGGTCAAGACCGGGGATTGGGCAGATGAGAGGACTGAGAAGGGACCCCTGGCTGGGGGCAGGTTGAGGTGAGGGGCAGGGCTGCCTCGACCCAGCCTGCCTGGTCCTCTGTGGCAGTTTCTACTGGGACCTGATTTATGCCCGGAAATCTGGAGCCACCTGTCAGTCACCCACACAGTGTGCAGGGCAGGCCAGACCCAGCCCCCCAGGTGTGGCTGTGAAAGGAGCCCAGGCCTGTGCCCAACGCTGCAGCTGACCAGCCGACCTGGAGGCTTTGTGTTCCCCATCCCTGGGGCGGGAGGGCTGAACTATGGTCCAGGCCTAAGGTTCCCCCTCCTCCTGGGAGGAGCGTGCCAGGCAGGAGTGCTCAGCTCAGGGAGCTGAGGAAGACCCATGCCCGGCCTCTGACTCCAAGAGGTCTGAGTCTGCTGAAAGGGGGCACTGCTCTGTTCTGAGGGCCTCCCACCACAATGATGAAGCATCCATGTCAGTGCCCAGAGCCAGCATCTGCAGCACACGTGCAGGAGGGGGTTCACACGTGTGTGTCGTGTGTGTGCAGAGATGCATGCTTGAGACTTCGTGTGTGCAGAGATGTGTGTGCAGCCCTGAGCTGCTCCCAGGGGCCCCAGCCACAGCAGGCAGTGCTAAGACACATGTGGGGCTGTGAGGTGGTGCAGGTTGTCTGCTGGGCTGAGGGTCCTGGGGGAGCCAGTTTTCCTCCCCCAGGCTCTCCAGAAACAAGAGACAGAGGGCTTGGGGGCAGAATCTTGCCCAGAGGCCCTGGAGCACCCAGCAAGGATGTGGAGAGGTGGGGCTAACGTGCTTTCCAGAGCAGCCCTTCCTCTGGCCTCTGCTCCATGCGTGCATTCAGTCATCAGCGCTTACCGGGTGTCTTTATGCCAGACACTGTGGCAAGAGCAGGAGGCAGTGCAGACTGGGGACCCTCCCACCTAGAGCTGACCTCGAGGAGGCCAATGGACCACCAGCAGAACAGGGCTCAGGTGTGGCCCCCAAAGGCCAACCCAGGAAGAGGCTGTGGGCGAAAACAACAGGCCTCGGATCAGCATTCCAGGCAGTGGGATCAGCAGGGCAGAATCCCTGAGGCCGGGACCTGCCAGGGTGTCTGAGGACAGCACGGGGCTGGGCGGGGCTGGAGGTGCAGACGCGGACACAGACCCCCACACACCGAGGGGGACGGCAGCGTGAGGACCAGCACTAAATCCCAGTAGGGAAAATGGAAACAGACAAGTTGCCAGGAAAAGATGAAAATCCTCAGGGACTCCAGCCCCAGGATCTCTTCCGAGGTTTCCTGCCTGGGTGTGCAGGGGACACCGGGACCACCGTGTGCCCCACCCACACTACCAATTTCAGAATGACCTGAGGCTGGGTGCAGGGGCTCACGCCTGTAATCCCAACACTTTGGGAGGCCAGGGTGGGAGAATCGCTTGAGCCCAGGAGGTCGAGGCTGCATCGAGCCCTGATCATGCCCTTGTACTTCCAGCCTGGGCGACAGACCTAGACCCTGTCTAAAAAAAAAAAAAGAAAGAAAGAAAAGAAAAGGAAAAAGAAAGAACTCTGATTGACCTGAAGACACGCCAACGCTCTTCAGCCTGTGTAGGCTGGTGTGACAGCCTCGAGGCCCCCTACTGCATGGGGGTCCCGGGTGCTGTGCCCACAGGACAGAATCTGACCCAGTTGAGCCTTGGACCCAGCACAGGGTGACTCGAACCTTATTTTAACCTGAGACACAAACTCGCCCCTTTTGGACTCTGCTCCGCTCCTACCCTCGGGGTGGCTGGCTCTGCGAGGCCATGGTCACCAGACGCTCACTTCACTGGAGTGAGGGCTCCCTGAGTCTTCATCTTTAGGATGCCGTAGGGACGTTCTGGGGCTTAAGGCACTAAAGATGTTTCTTTTAGATTTTTGTTTTTCATTTTAAAAATTGCATTTCCCAGCTACTTGGATGTTTGTGAGTCATTCCGTTTTCTTTATTTCGAAGATTGGTCAGGGAACTTTTTCAGAAAAGTGAAGGGGGATTCCAGGAGTTGCTTTTTCACCCCACACTCATCAAGAAGACATCAAAGGGCTCCACCGCAGTGACAAAAAGCACCAACAGACCTGGGTCCAAGGAGGCCCGGGAGGTGGGGTGGCCAGGAGGGGGCGCCCCCCAGTCGGCCGAGGGACTGAGGGACGCACGTCTAGCCCCGGAGGGCAGCGCCCGACTCCTCAGCCGGAGCCTGAGCCCAAGCCACCACCGCCTCTTCCCGGCCCGGCCTGCGCTGCCCCCTGGTGGTGGGGCCAGGCACCATCCCAGCCTCTAACACCCTATCCAACCTTGGCCCCTGGGGCTCCCGAGGGAGGGTCCCCAAAACCTGCTATTCTCATAGGCAAGGGACAGGTACGTGGCCAAAGCCCCCAAAGCCCTGAACTGGAGTATCTCTGTGGTTCCAGCAGCGGCCCCCTCGCTTGGGGGCAGAGCTCAGGGAGTGGAGAGAGAAGATCCCGAACTCAGGAATAGACTCAGCCTAGGGCAGCAGAAGGCAGCCTGCGTCTTCGGGTTTGATGAGGGCGGAGGGAGGGGCGTGGGTCCTGGTAGGTCGGTCACTGCAGTGGTGAGGTGGTCCCATTTTGGAAACTGAGGAAGCAGAGCTTGGAAGACCTGGGGGGTGGAGGGGAAGGGTCTGCACCCATCCCAGAGTGGCTGACACAGAGGTCCAGGCTGCTGCCTGCTCTCCCAGGCCCTCCCAAGCAAGCTGGCGTCCCTGCCCTCCGGTGGGACAAGAGACCCAGGCCCCACCACCCAAGATCATCGCTCAGGCCCAGCTCTCCTGTGCCCCCCGTGCCATGCAGGTGGTTAGGGTCTGTGGCATCTGGAAACAAGGGTTGGGGACAAGCAGCCCCAGTGCTCCAAGTGCTGAGGGTCCGACCCCGGTGCTGGAGGCCTCGGGGTGGGCTTGGTGGCTGGGATCCACAGGCTGGGGGGGTCCTGCTCAGACCCTGCTGGGTTCCCGCTCTGGGGGCTCAGAACTTCATCTGGAGTTCTGGGAGGAACTTCACCTGGGGAAGGCGGAAGGAGGTGCGTGTGTAAGCATCTCATCCCTGGGTCCACAGCTCTGCCCTCGGGTGTGTGCTCACACTCACGGTGTGCTTGCGTGCACACCCCCACCACCAGGCACACCACGTACCCTCACCACACACCCTTCACACACCCCCAGCCCTGGGTTCTGAGCCTGCTAGAGGTCCAACCCACTTCCCATGGCACCCTCAGTGAGAGGCCCCTTTGGCTCAGAAACTCCAGGGAGTCCTGGGGACAGTGACGGTTTGTGGGAGGGCACAGTGGGTCTGGTGGGAGTCTGGCTCTGTGTTCTTGGCCATAGCCAGCTGGGCCCGGGTGGGAACTGGCTCTCTGAGACTGGTGCTTCCCTACCCTGTCCTGGAGCCCTGGGGGTGGAGGACAGTGAGGGTGAGCTCAGCCTGGGCTGGCCCCATCCAAGACTCCCCACCCCGCTCACACTGGGGTGCAGGTGCAGGGCATCCTACCTTCTGGCGTTGCCGGGAACGGCGGCACATGTAGCAGGCGAGCATGACCACAGCGAGCGTGAAGATGGAGACAGCAGTGACCACCCCTGGCACAGGCCCGGACCCAGCGCTGGGGACAGACGGGACCTCTGAGCCTGAAGGGGACAGTTCAGGGATGGACAGGTGGGCTGATGTGGAGAGAAAGTTGCCCACGTGCCACGGCAAGACTGAGGCATAATCTGTCCCACATAATAGACAACTGATGACTTAGTTATTATGATACCAAATAGATATTAGATTCAATCACACAATTATATAATCAATCTTATTACATCATTATTCTCTATTAATCTTTGCTTTAGTATAGGAACATTTGATTCTTAAAGTATAGACATAATCAGGTGAAATATAATTTAGAACTGAAGGGACATTGTGAGAAGTGATCAGGAGGCAAGAGTAAATGCCTTGCCAGTAACACCAGTGCGTGGGAAGGTGCCAGTTACTTAGCAAGCAGGTCTCACTGTAATGCCAGCACCCGGGAAGGCACCTGTTGCTTAGCAGGCAGGCCTTGCGGTAACACCAGTGCCCGGGAAGGTGCCTGTTGCTTAGCAGGCAGGCCTTGCAGTAACACCAGTGCCCGGGAAGGTAGCAGGCAGGCCTTGCGGTAACACCAGTGCCCGGGAAGGTGCCCGTTGCTTAGCAGGCAGGCCTTGCAGTAAGGCCAGCATCTGGGGAGGTGCCCATTTCTTAACAGGCCTTGAGGGGGAGTTTCCCTCTCACTGGGGAATTCAGAGAAAACTGTTCTGCTGGCTCTTGAGGAAGGTCTGACACTGGCCAGGCCAGCCCACAGACATCCAGGGTCTTAAACACCTCTCTGTGGTGCTGTGCTCTGATGGCCAGCCACCATCCATGTCCACCTCCATGTTCCACTTTCCTACCCAATGCTCCCTCGTAAATTTTTAGAGGCTGTGAGAAGTAAGAATAGAGAAATCCTAAAAGCCTTTGATCTGTCTGATAAGGTGCATAGAAAGGCACTGACGTATGTGCCTCCCCACCTTGCAGTGGCTGCCTGAGAGGGAGGGGCCCTCTATACTCTACCCATGTGGCCCCCTGAACTATGCCCACGTGGACCCCGTATTGTCAGTACATGATTTGCTCGACCCCTACCAATCATGTCAGATGAGTCACCCTCCAGCCCTGCCCCCTACCCTGTATACAATAAATACCAGCCTGTCCTGGCATTTGGAGCCACGGCTGGACTCTGCCCCTTGGTGGCAGTTGTCCCCCGGGCCCAACTGAATTCTTTTCTTATCTCTATGTCTTGTGTCTTTCTTTTCTATGATCTATCTATCCTCTCACAAAAGAACACCCACTAGACCCTGCAGGCCGGGCATCCCCTCCCCCCACCTCTTCCGTGTAGCCCACAGCCTCCTCTTCCTCCTGCACACCCCCTGGGATGAGAATGAGCCCCAGGTCTGCATAGTCCCTGCTGGGGAGGCTCAGGAGTGGGAGCCAGTGCAGGAGCACAGAGAGAGGAGACCCAGGAGACGGGTGCCTCAGGGCAGCAAGGGGAACACCTACCCCTGAATGTGCCAGGTTCCAGGAGCTGTGTACTGTCACTGTCCTTCAGGCCTTGGGGCTCTGGGGAAGAGATGCAAGGGCAGGTGAGGGGCCTGCCCTGATGCATTCCCCAGGGTATCTACGGAGCCCCATACCTGAGTCCAAGAGGAGTTCACTGGTTCCCGGGGGGGGGGGGCTCTTCCACCTGGGGGTGGGGAGCAAAGCAGAACCCCAATTTGGGTGACCTGGGTGGATTGGAACTGGCTGTGGTGGAGGTGGGAGGACTGGGAGGGGCCATGGAGGCTCCTGAGCTTTGAGGGAAAGGAAGGGGAGGGGTGAGGAGTGGGTTTGGGGACGGGGCAATCAGTGACCCTGCACAGTGGGGCACGGGCGGCTGCTCGGGGTGTGGCGGCTGCTGGGGCACGGGGCGCAGGTGGGAGGGGCTTGCTAGCCACTGAGGCTTTCTGGTTGAACCAAATAAGACGCTGGGGTGGGGGCTGTGGGCCCCAAGTTGGGGGAGGACTGGCAGAGGGGCAGCGGCTGGGTGAGTGGGGACATGGGTGGGGACACGGGCGGGCGGTGGTCAGGCCTGTGTGGGGGGAGCTGAGGCAGAGGGTGGTGTGGTGAGCCTCCCTGAGGGCAGGAGGAGGGGGGCGGGGACAGGGAAGGGTGGGGATGGCACCAGCCCTGAAGACAGGAGGGTGAGCGCACATGTGGTCTGGGCTCTTGCTGAGGTGGACAGTGGGGGATTGGGATGTGCGGGGCAGGACCATGGTGTCCTGGTAGGCCCCGTTTGTGGTCACCAAGAGTGGTGGGTGGGTGACCATGAGCACCTCCAGATGACCCCAGTAAAAGCAGGGCAGGTGCCTCTAAGCCATGCGCTGTGCGTCTGGAGGGACTCTCAGAGCACAGGCATTTGGGGTGCAGTTTCCCCACACAGCCAGGGTGGGGGTGGTGGGGGGTTGCCTTGGCTTCCTCCTTGCTTAACGCAGCCCCCACCCCTGACAGGCAGACAGGGCTCCTTTGAGGAGCAGAGGCTTTATAGTCTGCATTGTTTGTGGGGCTCCGGCTGCCCTCTGTGGGTCCCACCCCACTGTGGGTCTGTGTCCCCTGGGCCTCCTGCCTGAGTGCTGCCCTTCCCAAAGAAGAACTGTCTCTGGAAGTCAAGTTGCCCCCACCCCAACTCTCCACCCCCTGACTCCACCCTCCACCGCGATTCTCCACCCCCACCCTTGCTCTCCACCCCCACCCTTGGTCTCCACCCCCCACCCCTGCTCTCCATCACCCACCCTTGCTCTCCACCCCCCATCCGGACTCCTGGCGGCCCCCCTTGCCTGTTCCTCCTCTTTCCCTCTCAGTCTCAGCCCTCCCCCTGCCCAGGCCCCTCCCTCCCCACATCCTGTCCCACTCCCCTCCTGCTTGCTTCCCCAAGCCCACCCTCACCTGAAACCTCCATTGTGATATATCTGTTATTTCTCTGGTGTCCCCTGAGGTGCCACATGTACAGCCCAGCGTGGGAGTCCTGGACACCTTTGATCAACAGCTGGGCCACGCCTCCCTGAACCCAGAGCTGCCAGTCATCCCGGGAGAAGCGGCCTTGGGACACGTTGTGGAAGATGGTCTTGTTCTCTCTGAGGCGGCACAACGTGATGGTGACAAGGGAGAAGGTGTTGGAGATGTTGCAGGACATTGCTACGTTTGTGCCCTGAGACACAGAGACCACGCCCTCTGTGCAGGTGGGGACATCCCAGCCTGTGGGGCCAGAACAGGGGGCACATGTGGGTCAGGGCTGGGCCTCAGGGCATTGGCTGGCTGCTGTGCCCAGGGCCAGGGCCAGGGCAGGAGACAGGGCCTGTAAGGGACACGATGAACTATGTATACATCCATCCCATCCAATCAGCACATATTCTTGTGTTCAAAGAATAAGATAGCCACAAAAAAGGAGGGTGGCCGTGTGTGTGTGTGTCTGTGTGTGTGTGTGTGTCTGTGTAGTTTGTATGTGTGTGATTTGTGTGTGTCTGTGTGGTTTGTGTGTGTGTGGTTTGTGTCTGTGTGTGTCTGTGTGTATGTCTGTGTGTCTCTGTGTGTGTCTGTGTGGTTTGTGTGTGTGTGTCTGTGTGTGTGTGTCCGTGTGTCTGTGTGGTTTGTGTGTGTCTGTGTGTGTCAGTGTGTATCTGTGTCTGTGTGTGGTTTGTGTGTGTGTCTGTGTGTGTGTGTGCTTGCATTCACACCGTGTCTGTTCCTTAGGGTGTGTTCACAAGTGTGTCCACTTGAATGAAGACAGTTCCTATCAACTCCCTCCCCTGTATATTTCCACTGGGGTGGGCGAAGCCAGACCCTGGGGGATGTGTGGGCACCTGTGCTTTGGCAGGCGTGCTGCTGCTGATCTGCTGAAT